TGACTGACTATATAATTGAAGTGGTTGAATTTTGCACCGGGGCAAGTTGTCACATTTAACTGGAACCCAAAAAAACCCCCACTAAGCCCAAAACTCATGAGCTAATTTGACAAATCTAAACAAATTAATAATAATAGTGGAAAATTCACACATACTGTATAAACACCATGTAAATGTATTTTCTTTCCAGCACCACTGACATGATGCACGTTTATGTAAATGTGCATTATAATACAGTGCAGCTCCGGTTACAGTGACTGAAAGTGTTGAACCACAAACCAGCCCAGTGTTTTCCTCAGATCTACTCACATCTGCATCTAGCGCCCCGCGGTCAATCATGAAGGATGAACAGTTGAGGACACTTACAAGCACAAAATCTCATTAGATTGCACCAAAACCTCCTGTCAGAATGAATGCATGCGTGATTTAGTTGCTGTATACCTTATCAATGATATTTATTTAGCTGTATCTGTTCATAAACTGTTTAGTCTGTTTTGAGTTTCACAGCCTGATGATTCCTTCACATTTCCAGACGCAAACAGCTCCATTATTCCCTCTTACTGAGCATCTGCTGCTTTTAAAGTCACCTGCTTCACATTTGCATTAAGAGCCTTCGGGTGTTTCCAATCACTGCGACCCGAAAACAAGCATCAGTCACACTGTTAACGATTACACAACATCATTAGTGCTAACAGCCTAAACCTCGTGTAGTGATCAAACACATTGTCTTTAAAACACACTGTTAAAAGGAATAGTTCAGCCAAAAATGAAAATGTGTTGAAAATATACCCATGTACTGTTAATCAGAGATCAGGATGAGTTTGATCTTCATCAGGTTTGTAGAAATGTAGCATTGCATCAGTGTCTCAGCAATGGATGCTCTGCAGTGAATGGGTGCCGTCAGAATGAGAGTCCAAACAGCTGATAAAAACATCACAATAATCCACAAGTAATCCTCAGCACTCCAGTCCATCAGTTAACATCTGGAGAAGACAAAAGCTGAAACAAATCCAGCATTAAGACGTTTTTAACTAAAACACGAGTCCATAATTCTATCCAATAAAAATATTCTAAGAATGTAGTGTTTAGGATTTGACAACCTTTGAAGAATGTTTTTTTTCTTGGTTATGCGAACATTAAGGAAACATTCCATTGTATCATTTTGCAAACATTATGGGAATGTTACTTTTGAATTTTCTGAAACAAGTCGCAACATTTAAAAAACGTTAGATGAGCGTTCAACTGAAACATTTCAGGAAAAAGTTCCACGAATGATGTATGAATAACATTTTGAGAACATCATTATAAACCAGATAACTTTGAACTAACATTCTGTTAATGTTACTGGAAGAATGTTTGTTTATAACGTTCTCAAAACGTTCCTTGTTAACTGGATAACACTTCCTCCAGTGAAAAAGTGTTCTGGTCTGAATCCGGAGAGAAATCTGCACAGATCAAGCAGCGTTTAAACAGTTCTAAACTAATATGTGGCTGGATTCTGATGTGAGAGACAACAGGAGATGCACTTTTTCACTGGAGGAAGCGTTATTATGGATTATAGACTCGTGTTTTAGTTAAAAACGTCTTAATGCTGGATGTGTTTCAGCTTTTGTCTTCTCCAGATGTTAACTGATGGACTGGAGTGCTGTGGATTACTTGTGGATTATTGTGATGTTTTTATCAGCTGTTTGGACTCTCATTCTGACGGCACCCATTCACTGCAGAGCATCCATTGCTGAGACACTGATGCAATGCTACATTTCTACAAACCTGATGAAGAAACAAACTCATCCTGATCTCAGATGGCCATTTTTGGTCAACTACTCCTTTATCAGCCTCACCAGCTGTGCACAACATAAATGATAACTGGTTTATAAATAAATAAGCTTAACTTCATTGATTTACCCGTGACTGCTCATCCAGATGGTTGAGGAACATCTGAAGGTCTTGAAGCTGCAGGAACATCAACATGACACTCACAGAACAACATTTACATTCAGATTCAGATGAACTGCTATCAGGCTGCTTCAGGTTGAGATTCTCCTGCTTTGCTCTGCTTGAGCTGAACTCTATTAATAAACACAGATAAATCAATGCGTTCCTCCACTTACTCTTTCTGTCCTACAGAAAGACAGGAGAGACACACATTTCATTTGTCCTGATGTTCCACAGTGAATAAAATCAAGTGTTGCTCAAGAACATCCACTTATGATTTAATATAAACCCGACACATCAAATATTAACCATGAAGCATGCAGCTCCATTTATGTTGTGTTCAGCTGAAATCTGATTTAATTGATTTAAAGGCGACAGCATTCGGAGGAGATTTGCACGGTTTATTAGGGTGCTGATGTGACTGATTGAAATCTGTTGTACAAAGTGTGAGTGAGTTTAAGAAAGAGGGTTTATAAATACGTACAAAGCATCTGATCAATAAATCAAATCTGAACTAATACAGCAATGCAATTAAACGTCCTCATTCTGTGCTAGGAAACTGAAGGAACAAAAACTAAAACACACACAAGATGGATGTACATTCCTGACATTTGGCTAAATTAAATAAACATGAGATGGATTCGGCTTTGAAATCACACCAATGTCAAAATTCATAGCAAATATATATATCGTTTGCTTTGTGCATTATAGCAAGTCTTTAAATAATCATCAGAAAATCCCCTGATGCGAAACCAGAATTCAGATCACATTCTCACAGAGCCATTCACACTAATAAAGTATATTTTAAGAAACATAAACAGGGATTGGTCTAATCTGCGCGATACATCACAAAAATAAACACTCTTCAATTTAAAACAAATCCTTTTGGCATTTGAAATCGATCACATACAATATATTATTATTATCCTTCCCTGTGCAAATGTATGGTGATTCTGCACAATAAATAAAAGGTGATTCAGCAGGTTCAGCAAAATCATACAGAACTGTACAAAACAAAATAAAATTAGAGGAAGAAACAGAACGGGCCCAAATCTCTGAGTATTACGGAAGAGTTGTTTACTCAAACCCAAATGACTTTCTTTCAAAAGAACATGTTCTTTTTCATATAATAGCTCCAAAATGACGTAAAAAGCACCATGAAAATGTTTCTCTGAACTCATATGAATAGTATAAAGTCATTATTGACTGATAATCTTCCTCTCCTCTGAAATAGACTACAAAAACTCAATGTCACTAATATCAACAGAACTAAAGTTGAATTAGTGCTGTCAAACGATTAATCCCGATTAATCGCATTCAAAATAAGTTTTTGTTTACATAATATATGTGTACTGTGTATATTTATATATATATATATATATATATATATATACACATACAAATACATGCATGTATATACAGTATTTAAATATGCTGTTTATTTATTAAATATATTTATATATATTATAAAATATAATAATATAAATATATATACATGTAAATATTTTCAAAATATATACTGTATGTGTGTATTTATATATACAAAATAAATTAAAACAGTACACATACATATAGTATGTAAAAGAATTTTTTAATTTGGATGCAATTAATCGCGATTAATCGTTTGACAGCACTAAATTATATAAAATATAAATATGTTTAATATATAAACAACATTTTTCTCAAATATATACATGCATGTGTGTGTATTTATATATACATAAATATACACAGCACACACACATATATAAACAAAAACTTTTATTTTTAATGCGATTAATCATTGCCCAGCACTAACTTGATTGGAGAGAAACCGAACATTTTCAGTCCTTATTCAAAGCTGTACAGATGATTATACGATACAGTGCTGTTTGTGTCATTCACTCGAGTCTCCATTCACTTCCTTTACACTGAAAACAGCAGCATGTTGTTTTGTGAAAGTCACAGGGGTTTGGTCATGTAAAGAGCGAGTAAACGATGACAAAACGTTCATTAGCGGATATACTGTTTATTTAGAGTCTCACACACACACACACACACACACACACACACACACACAGACGTGTGGTTTTGACATTGTGTGTGTGATGAAGCACTAAGTGGCCGGAGGATGATGATGACATTCCCACCTTCACACCGGTGTTTGATGATGGATGGGAGCCGCCAGCCATCAGAAACCCAGAGCCGAGCATCATGAACACAAGCAAACGAGAGCCAGGGCGAGCGCCTGTGACACGACAAATGGTATGAACACACCGAACACACGATCACATGATCAACCTGTCATTTAGCCACTTTAACGCTCTCTGTTTGTATGTGTAGAGTAACAGACTGCCGCCAGAGCCTGAGGACAGGTACAGAAGCATGCATATGAACACATGAGACACACGTAACACACGCACAACACACACTCACACATGCACACACACACTCACACACTCACTCACACTCACTCCACACACACACTCACACACGCACAACACACACTCACACATGCACACACAACACACACTCACTCCTCACTGCACACACACACTCACACACGCACAACACACACTCACACATGCACACACACACTCACACACTCACTCACACTCACTCCACACACACACTCACACACGCACAACACACACTCACACATGCACACACACACTCACACACTCACTCACTCACTCACACACTCACTCTCACTCACTCACTCACACACTCACTCTCACTCACTCACTCACACACTCACTCTCACTCACTCACTCACACACTCACTCTCACTCACTCACTCACACACTCACTCTCACTCACTCACTCACACACTCACTCTCACTCACTCACTCACACACTCACTCTCACTCACTCACTCACACACTCACTCTCACTCACTCACTCACACACTCACTCTCACTCACTCACTCACACACTCACTCTCACTCACTCACTCACACACTCACTCTCACTCACTCACTCACACACTCACTCTCACTCACTCACTCACACACTCACTCTCACTCACTCACTCACACACTCACTCTCACTCACTCACTCACACACTCACTCTCACTCACTCACTCACACACTCACTCTCACTCACTCACTCACACACTCACTCACACACTCACTCACACACTCACTCACACAAGAGCAAATCCTGTAGTCGCTGTTCGCCTGTTTGTGTTTGCGTACACATAGCACCGTGACCGAGAGAAACCTCTCATAGACGCCGGCGACTGCGTTTGATTGTCGCGTGGTTGAGTTTGAGAAGGAAAAGGAGAGGGTTTAAAGGCAGAAGGGGAACCTGACGGAGACGAGGCCGTAGGGTGATTAGCACTAACGGAGGCGTTGGGAATGCATGGATACAGTAGATTCATCTGTGCTTCATGTGTCTCCCGCCGGCGGCTGCTTCTTATCCTCGGCGTGTTTGAACATCAGGATGGAGTTGTAGATCTTGAGGGCCGGGCCGAGCTTCACGCTCATTATCTTAACGATGTCTCGCTGCGTCAACAGAAGAAAGGCCTTCCCGTCGATTTGCTGGTGAGGGAGTCAGCAGAAAACATTACAGAGTCAGTGTGTTTAACCATCATATAAAGCTGCTAATGAACACTAACGACACTATGAAATCATAATGTGATCTTAAATATGACAAAATTAACTTTAAGCTGATGCAGTTAAACTGTATTTACGGTCTCTCTTCCTTGAAAACTGACTGATGCTTGCAGACAGCTAGAAAAATAAATAAATATTCTCTGAAAATGTACTCTTTAGTTTATAAAAAAATATATGAGAAAAAAATTAATACTTCTATTCCATCAAGGATGCATTAAACTGATCAGAAGTACCAGTAAAGACATTTATAATGTTACAAAAGATTTCTATTTCAAATAAATGCTGTTCTTTTGAACTTTCTGTTCATCTGTAAATCCTGAAAAATAAAATGTATCACGGTTTCCACAAAAATATTGTGCAGCACAACTGTTTATTGTAATTACAGTGGGTACGGAAAGTATTCAGACCCCCTTAAATTTTTCACTCTTTGTTATATTGCAGCCATTTGCTAAAATCATTTAAGTTAATTTTTTTTCCTCATTAATGTACACACAGCACCCCATATTGACAGAAAAACACAGAATTGTTGACATTTTTGCAGATTTATTAAAAAAGAAAAACTGAAACATCACATGGTCCTAAGTATTCAGACCCTTTGCTGTGACACTCATATATTTAACTCAGGTGCTGTCCATTTCTTCTGATCATCCTTGAGATGGTTCTACACCTTCATTTGAGTCCAGCTGTGTTTGATTATACTGATTGGACTTGATTAGGAAAGCCACACACCTGTCTATATAAGACCTTACAGCTCACAGTGCATGTCAGAGCAAATGAGAATCATGAGGTCAAAGGAACTGCCTGAAGAGCTCAGAGACAGAATTGTGGCAAGGCACAGATCTGGCCAAGGTTACAAAAAAAATTCTGCTGCACTTAAGGTTCCTAAGAGCACAGTGGCC